TAGGAGTTCATAGCAATGCTACCACCTTTGGTACACGTGCAACAAAATCCGTCCTCATCCAAGCAAAGAGACCCCAGCAGCCTCAGTTTCCCATTCACACCTTCCTTAGAGAGGAAAGGCCAAGGGTAAGGAGGTGCCTGGGGAGCAGAAGACAGACAAAAAGTTATTTCCCACTCCCAAAGCACCACCTGGTCCTGGGTTATGCAGTAGCAAACCTGGTGCTACATCAACTTACACATGGTAGTTTGAGAAGGAAGAGGGAAATAGGCAAGTAATAAAATTGATTAAATATCAGACCATAGTTATAAATCCATGTTAATGTGCCTTTTTTCTCTCCAGTATTTTCAGATAAGTCTTTTGTGATCACTGATCCAACTAGATATGTTAGCCATAACATCATAGAGAAATAAGGACAAACAGCTTTTTTGTCTGAAAGGTTACATTTAAGCTGCCTCACATATTTAGAAATCCATGTGGCTTCATATATAAGGGTAGGGTATGCAGTTCTAATAAAACACCTAAACTGCACACACTGCAAACCTTGTGTAAACACTATAGATTTGTCCATGCTGCCAAAGATTTGCAATAAGCTTTTGTTTACAACTGCAAAGAACTGTCCAATGCTTTTATTGTTCTGCTCGTTACTCTGAAGCACTTAGCAATCTTTCCACTCAGCATGTTAATTACGGAAGATGCTTTATGGAACATGATTTATTTAAAGCCTGTTCAATCTCAATTTATGAAATCCAGATTGTGAAGCATCACATAACAATGTATTCTCCTCTGTAGCATCTTTAGTCACTAATAGCACTTTTATAGTACACAATGCCAAATAAGTCTAAGCTTAATTAAGCATTTAGGAAGCTGCTTACAAAGAACTCAGCACACAGTAGCATCTCTACAGTTAAAGGTCAAATAATTTTGACCTCTGCCTTAGCACTCACAAAACCAGACCCATACATGAATACACTAGAGTTAAAAATCTGGATTCTAGCTTTTTTCTTTTCCTACTAAAGTTAATTATTTTTCCCAACTCAGAAAAGATTTTATTTGGCCATGCTTATACATTCCCTTCCCCCTCCTTTAAACAACACAAACACATTTTTAGTGCTTTCAGATGTTGAGATCTTTTATGCGAGCTAAAGACACTAAATTGAGAAGAAAGAACCAGCCATCAGCCTAAGTCCAGTCTTTTGAAGATAATACAGCTACGTGACAACTTCTGGCAGTTGGCTGTGGAAAAGTCAGGATCAGTTGGTGTCTTATATCTTGCCTCATTTTTCACACAAAGCTGTGACATACATCTGGCTCTCGAGAAATTCCAGTTCATCTTTTAGGCCCAACAATATGCCTCTTACTTCTTGATCCTCTCCACATATGAAATTTCATAATAATTTTATCTTGCAATCATACATTGTGTTAACAGCAAAACATATAGCTCAAAAGCTAAAATTCAAAATCATTTCGGGTATGATATACTGTGGAAGCACAGCACTGTGTTTGAATGGACACATGAACCAAACTTGAACCCACAGAAAACAAAACCAAAAAAGAGGATCAAAGTCAGACCTTGCACAGCTAACTATTAGGAAAAAAACTGCAGAAGGGAACTAGAAAAAACCTCTACCATTTCTGAAACCTTCTGTGCATCAACAAGCATGGCTGTTGTTTTAAAATTGTTACCCTGCTACTGGCAAGAAGGGCAGACCATCAAAATTCACAACTGGCACTTCCAACTTTCAGTAGAACAGTTGCACAGCTTCTTAAACACTTACTGAACATACATGCATAGATCCACCCTGCAAAGTCTACCATCCAACATTCACGGTATTATTTTGGAAAGCAGCACTTAAGAGCCAAAGGAAAGGTGATAACTAGAGAAGCCTGGGAAAAGCTAACAAGCCTGAGAGCAGACATGCTGAAGTCATTTTAGCACCTCAGACTTACCAGTCACATTGACACATAGACTTGACCAGCCTCACAGGTCCCACCCTGCAACACTGCGTCACACAGGAGCGTGGCTGGTTTGTCTGAGGGTCAAGAACAGTGCAACAGGTAGAAGGCAGGAAGCTGTAAGCACCCATTATATCTATTTATGGTACCTGACAACTGCTTGACTATTCATGGTCAGCTACTTCACTGGTCATCTTTACAGTTTGGAAGAAAAAAAAAACAACTTATTGGAAAAAAGCCACCAGAAACACTTGTGGTTTTCCACTGTGGTGAGTGCCACTAGTCATTCGCAAAAATTCTGAATCTCAGGACTCAGAACTTAGACTAAAACCACTGAACTTTGCTACAAGTCAATGGTTCAAATCACTGTCTATTTGGAAAGCTGAGTAAAAATATACTCAATTACGTGCCTTCTGCTCTCCACATAATTTCTCAACTTTGAACTGTTCATTTTTCTAACCTGCCTTGCATTATGTGCTTCCTTCAACTGATATTACCAGGCTATTAAACTATACGCCATTTTGACAACATCCTGTCCTATATCTAAATGATGCCTCTAGATATTCCATTGGTATTGTAAACAATCTCTCAAAAAGATTAAAAATTTATAAAAACTCAAGTAAAATCCAAATTAGATTAAAGATCCATCCCTCATGTTGCTTCTGACAGCAGTGGCCAACAGCTTTACAGACATTTTATTTTCAATTACTTTGACTGTTTTGCAGGACATTTCAAGCAAAATTCTGCTAACTTAGTAATGGTGCATTTGCTTCAATATGCAGCAAAGTGAAAATATATTGAGCTGAAATAATATTCACCTAAGGTTGCACCTTTTGAAGCGGGTTACCATGGGCAGCAAGTGGAACAATATAGTTCCACTATGACTTTGAATGGAAGACGCTTATTACATGCTATATTTTGCCAGGAATAGAAATTACTCCTGTTTTTTAAAGTCTGACCCAATGCAGCTGCTTTGTTAAAAAAAAAAGTTAATGATGACTCCTGCATCCACTTCAGTAGATCAAAACAGAACATTGTTCCAAAAATCGAAGCAATATAAGCGATTTTTATTTGTTGTTTGAAAGAAATTAAATGGAAAAATGCCATTTTTTTTTAAGTTCAACCATCATACTTTCTTCATTAGCATTTTGCAATGTTTGACAATACTTAATAAAATAGCTTTAATATTACCTAAAATGTTGCAATTTGGCTTTTATAAGTCAAGCCAAACTTTCCACAGTTCATTCTCCAAAGCCTACTGACTCATAACAAAAAAATATATCAGATTTATAGTTTCGTCCTAAAAATGATTTAAGCTAAAATACAAAAAAAGTTGCAAGTTGCCAGGCCTCCCTTTCATGCTACATTCATTTAGAAAATATTTTAATGACAGACAAGCATAAAAGAGAAGCAGAGATGAAGTATATTTAACAGGCCAAGTTAAGAGTTCACAAGGAAAAAAAAAAGAAAGACTTCTAAACAGTTGAACAGACACTGTTAAAGGTACCGTATTTCCTAACTCCTGGTTTCACAAATAGCACCATTTTCATTTGCTAACAGAGCAGACTGTACAGAAAAACAACAAATTATGACACTTGTGTAGCTTTTCTGGTTGCTAGCAGCTAGCCTTCCTCCCAGAATTTTTCAAAGCTCATTTTGTAGTTTAACTAAATCTATCTTTACCTAGAGATTTAAGAAATGTTTATACAAAATATAGATCTAGGAAGAAGGATACTGACTCAAAGACGAGTTATAATGTGGATAAACCATTTTCTACAAAGTCAAATTATGCTGAATTCTGAAAAATATGGCTTTTTATTATTTGTCACTGCCCAAGAAACATGAAATAAATCCACTACAGCAGAAATCTTGTGCTGAAAGTGCTTTCTAATTGAATATAGGTAAAAATAGGTTATAATTGGAATATAAAACTCATCTCCCATGTAGCCATAAATGAAGTTCTGCTATTCAAGATAAAAATCCTGAGTAAATTAAAACCTCAAAGCACTAGTTAAATAACTTAAATGCAAATCTAATCCTGAGATCATCTGAAATAGTTTTAGTCCAGCATATGCTCAATACTCCAGACTTTGCTCGAACAATTCCTAGTGGGAACTTAACTCTTGAAAGCTGCTTAGGAAATATCAATTAGAAAATACCAAGTCTGAAAACAACTGCCTTACAGATAACTGAGTTAATAATTAAGCATATAAAACATTTTTACAGACATTCCAAACCAGCATGCGTGTTCATTCTACTCACCTACCTCTAACAAGGAATAATTCCCAGAAGTATTTGAGTATTAGAGATTTTATTCTGCTCCCACCATAAGCAGACAAAGTTAGCCTGGTTTCAACATCATGCTGATCAAGAGATCCAACTAAGAATAGCAATTGGATATGCACTACTTTTATACTTCTTGATATTTTAACTTATATTCTTGCAGGGCCAGTAGTTTTGTAGAAATTGGATTCTAGATTAAGACACCTCTTATATCCACCTCTTTAAAACTGAATTTGCTGTCAAAAGCAGAAGAAATCTAGTTTTCCCCCACTGATTCTAGCAGGATACCCTGAGAATCCACTAGCATCAGGGGCATTACACAACTTTAAAGAAAATAAAACTAATGAGAAAATGAAGTCTAAAGGCAGTTTTAGCAATACTTTGGTCCTCAAAGGAGGCCCATGCAACTTTTATTAACATAAATTTACATAAAATAAGAAATATATAAGAACATAATTATACAAAATTACTATAAACAAGTATTCCTTCACCTACATATCCGTTTTGAGAGTTGACCAGATAACATCCTTTTGATAACATTGCTAAAATTCTGGTGTCACCAATAGATCTATTTTTTTGGCAAGCAATTGTACATTTAACTTCAAGTATTAGATATCATGCAATACAAATTCAACTGTGTTTAAGAACATAGTTTGAAACACGTACACATCTTTTTCCTAAAGGAAGTTAGCTTATAATCATGAAATATTATGAATAAATATTAAAAGGTAGAAAACCTGTACATTTTCCATAGACATACTTACAGCCGTTCAAGTTGTTTTAGATCTTGAAATGCTCCACGTTCTATCACACTAATCTGATTTTCTTCCAAGTGCCTGCAATTCCAGAAATATCAGTTAATTTTGAGACAGAGTAAAAGAGCTTCCCCACTTCTCTTCATATGTGCTACAAAATTGCTTTTCAGAGAAGTACCAATAACAGTTAGAATCAAATATTATTTTAAAAACTCTGGACAGAACAGCTTGTTTTCTTAGTCCCTAGAAACCAATTCAAAAATTGCCTTCTGACTGCCAGATTTGGTAAAGGTTTTTGTTCCTAAACATTCATAACATTACCAGTATGCTCAGAAAGGTGTTGGTTTAGAGATTCACTGTTACATTCTTAGTGTATTACTGAGTTTATCTAATTAAGAGAACTGATTCCTACACAGCCCATGGCAAGAACCCAATGTCACCGTATTTTTTGGTCCAGCCTTTATGTTCTGCAAAGATTTCAGGCTTGTCCCAGAGTAAACCATTTTTAAGTACTCCAAAGCAGCTCAAAACCTGTAGAAATACAGCCATGGCAGCTGTGTGTGATCACTCTGTACAGCCCTGCTCCACAGCTGGGTGCAAAAACAAAAGGGAAAAGTCCCAGGTTTCCACTGAGTCTGCCTCTGCTTTTCCTCACCCCCCAAGACCAAGCCAAGGATGAGTTATAAACAATGAAGACTGACTTCCCTTTGATTTACACTGGGCAGGAAATGACTAATGATTTACACAGCAAAAATGGTCTTTATAGGTGAAGTGGAAGCCAAGGAATAGAGATACCAATAGTCCCACTTAAGCTGACCTTTTTCCTCTCAGTGCTGCCTTCCAGCACACATCCATTTTCTCCTTCAGCAAGAGCACTCAGATGCACGGACTAAATCTCTAGGCTCTCTGAACATTTTATATGGTTTCAGCTAAAACACAGAAAGGAAGAACCTAACACACAGGAAGTCTGGACTCAGCCAAGACTAGTGAAAAATCACAACTCCCTGTTCTCAACTGCCGTTTGTCTGCACTCAGTCCTATGAGGATGCTCAAAACTGTGTGACTGTATAGCAACTGAGAAGACAGACAGCAAGAGTGCTCCACAGCCAAGACCACATTTAAATATAAAAAAAAACCACACCCAAATATGTGTACCAGAGAGGCATTTTATTAAAAACAGGATAAGAAGCTGCATGAGGAAAAGGAAGAAAGATGAAACAAAAGATAAAAGGAAAAGGTGCATATGAGAACATTGTGCACAGATCTGGTCAGTTTGAAACCAAAAGCTTTTTTTTTTTTTTTTTTTTTTTTTTTTCTGTTACACTGTTCTACCAGTTTCTGGGTGATTTGTTTGTTCTTTTAATTTTCCAGTATGAAAATAGTACTAGACCGCTTTTCTAGGAACTCGGGGACAAGTTTCAGGTTTCTGTGCTTCCCACCACAACCTCATCACACATGAGGAAAAACGAAATGAAAAAAAAAGAAAATCTAGGGTGTCAGTAAGGAACATCCAGAATTAAGAAGAGACCATAAAAGAAAACAAAGAAAAATAATGTGAAGACTTTCTAGAGAAAAAAAAAAAAAAGCTGCACAAAGTAAAATAAGAAACACAGACCAGATATGACAAGAATACATAGAATAGGGAAATTCAGTGAACAAAAATGGTTATATTAACAGGAAACAAAATAGCACATCTTGACTTTCAGATGGTCTTCCTCCATTGGAAGACAAAACCAAAACAAAAATATATATGTTTTTAACAGGTGCATTCTCGGTTTATTCCTAACTACTTCTGTGACAACCACCATACTACTGGAAGGCTGAACAATGTGTTACATAAACCTGTAATGAACATGGAACAAAAACTCAAATATGTATTTTGCTTATTGTTAATGGCATTCAGAAGAAAACACTGCAGCACCATTAGGCAATGTCTGACTTTATAGAAGTCCAACCAAACCAACTGCTGACATTAATGATAGTATAGTACTTGTATTTTAATAGACTTTCAAAATGGAACTGGCAGCTGGGATGGGAGCCAAAGAAATCTAAATTAATCCAGTGCTAGAGATGAGAGAAACACCACAGAAAAAAAAAAAAAAAAAAAAAGTCTTCCAATACATTTGAGATGTTTTCTTAGTATATAGTAACTTTTGAAAAAGTGTTAAAGTAACAGGAGAAAATACTTGCCTTTTAATTGGCAGGATTCAATTAACTACATTATCACCAAATAACTAACAGTTAAATAGATGCAGTTTTAAGGACTTATTTTAGAAGACACTAAAGAAAACTTTGACTGCAGAAGGCAATCCTAAGTATCACTGAAAGGAATCTTCAGAGGGTGCTAGAGACATTACTTGTACCTTTTTTAATTTCTGATAGCTGTTTGTTTCAGAAAATGTCACAATGGTAAAACCAACATTTTTCTGCCAGTGCAGACACTATGCCATGATTATTTTTTTGTTAAAGAAAGACAGCACCAACTAAATTTGTGTATTTATTACTTCATATCAGACTAAAACAACTCAGATTTCCTGCGTACAACTTACACAGCAATTCTTGGCAAGTTTTGCTTAACCTTCTGCAAAAGCGTTATTAATGGGACTGCACCTTAAAGTGAACAAACTCTGAAAGACCTGTTTGCTAGTGTTTCAGTATGATTGATTTATGCATAAGTGATTATAAAGTGGACCAAAAATTTAACCACAACATCTATTACAAGCCAGTAAGAAACGCAAACAATTAAATAGCTCTGAAACTATATTCAAACTTTAGTATGGCACTAAAATTGACTGTTTACCATCACAAACTACTCCAGTTGTCTGGTTTAAAAGAATACTAGTAACTGAATAATGTGCAGAAATTACTAGCATTTGATCTCTAGAATTGTGGACGTTGCACCCTAAAACAGACTTTTTGAGAAAGAAGCTGTGTGTTGAACTCACAAGACACGGAGATTCTTCAGTCCTGTGAAGTCCGTCTTCGTGATTCTTGTGATATTATTTTTTTCTAGATCACTGCAAGGGGAAAAAGAAACCAACATTTAGACACCATAACTGACATCCAAAATTGTTAGCAAAAAATATCTTCATCACTGGCACATTTATCAGCTGCTCAGATTGTGCAAACTAATGTTTCCATTAACATTTCTAAAAGCAAGTAATCAATCCTCCTCCTTTAAGCATGTTGTTCTCATAGAAGAGACTCACATTTTAATTTCTAATACTGGTGCTCATTATATGCTGCTGCTTTCTCCCTCCCTCAAAACTACAACGTGTTCATCACACTGACCTGTCTCCCATGTGTTTACCTTTGACCAAGTCCTAACTTCTGTCTTTAAACTTTCAAATTCCTAACACCTCTGTTATGCACTGACACATTTTCCTTGTGTGCTCACATACCAAAGCATTACCCCCTGCACTCAGTTTCAGTCTGTGTTTATTTATGCTCTAGATCCAAAATTAATGAGTAACTGGCATTTTTTTCCACAACATGGGAAACCTGCTGTAACCAGACCTTGAGCTGTCCACTTTTCTGCAGCTTTTCTTAGGAGTGATCACACCAAAAAGGCAGAAAAACATCATGTACAAAATCCCATCTTAATAGAATTGACATAAAAATAAAACACTTGAGACAATTTTTATAGAATTCAAAGTTGAGTCAATTTAAAGGTGAAGAAATTAATGAACTAATTATTCATCCAAAACTGCTCCTGTACTGAAGGACAGCTCTCAGTACCCTTTGGTGCCTTTAGAGTGACAACCCTTTATTTCCCAACACAAACACTTTGTCACTTCCTTTCCAAAGCACACAACAGATACCTCCTGGTGCCATAGGCCCCGTGTTGCTGTTTTCCCTTCTCCAGCCCTCCCTTTGCTAGGCACCCCTACAGCTCACCAGTTGAGCAAGTCCTGTTGTCTGGGGGTTGGTCTATTGGGTTTTTCTGCCCCAGTCGTTCCACTTGACTTCGTGCTAACCAGCAGGGACAAGATATACAGCTAGGCTTGCTTTCTGGTCTTCAGCCATGCTTATTTTAACATAATAAGCAACATGCAGCAAACTTACAATTAATAAAAACAGATATACTCTCCATCACATCATCACAAATTTGTTTTGAGTGTTGGCTTCCCAGATCCAAGAAGCCCTTTACAAAAAATAATTTTCTAATCATGGAGCAATCTTGTTTGAGTCACATTTTATGTCTACCAAAAGATGGTAAATACCAAAAACACAAAGCTTTGAGGAAACAGTTACCATGTCAAAACAGCATTTCATATTTTTCTAGAGATGAGATTGTAAGCAAAACATTGTGAAATTTTGTAGTCTACTGCCACTGAATGAAAACAATGTAATGTGAAAAAACAGCCATGAGACCAAGACACTTGTTTTCTAACATACAACATGAGGTTACAAATCCACAGCAAGAAGGAGAGGCTTTTCCTATACAACTCAGTTTTACTGAAGCTCCTGCAGTAATGTACATGGGGATACACCTCTTGTGTTTAGAAGGTTCTATTCCTCTCTCATTTCTAGTAAAACTCAACAACAGAAAGCCAAATTACAGTATTTTAAAGTATCTTTGGCAATCATCTGACACCTGAACTAACCTTGACCATGACATAATTTCTGAAAATCAGATGGGTGTTCCTAAGTGCTGTTTCAAGTCTATTATTGCTCCAAGTACAAAAAGGAATTCAAGGAAGGGGTGGAAGTCAAAACTTCCGGGAATGCCTTAGTTATCACATTCATATTCTGAAAATTGCTGCACAGACAGCTGTCTAGGGTGGTTTCTAAGTGCCTAGCAAATAATACTGCAAACAAAATGCCAAGTGTAGAGAACAGTTTAATCATTTGTAATCATTCATATATCATCCTACAGGGGGAAGAAAAAGTGCTCCTGGCTGGCACAATTTCCAGTAATTTTCTATCAAATATGCAGTTCCATACAAGCCTTCTGGAATGGCTGGTCCTTCAGCCAGTTTTTTTTCACCTCACATGAGACCCTATTAGTGAAACAGAACTACCACTAGGAAATAAGTGAGTGTTGAAGCATAAATTATATTTCCTTTGAATCAACATGGTTGTGTTTGTTTTTTTCCTGCCAACATTAAGTTACACTCTTCTAAAGCATTAAATGAAATTGTCATGGTAACAAATTTAATTTCTCTAGTGTGAACCACATTGTCAAATAAAGGCAGTTACATATTTTGAAGTTTGAGTTTATTAAAACATACAGTTTAAATAATCAGAGAAGGAATAAGACTGTCTTCTTAGCATATCTAACTTTCCCAAATGCTTCCAGCCATAAAAATAAAGAGGTTTTTCCTAATATAAACACTACCCACCACTTACAAAAATTGAAACTATTTAGAGCACAGGTAACATGTTGTATAGATTCATCTGAGAAAATAACTCTTCCTATTCCTCAACATACCTAATTGTTTTCTCACATGTTCCCTAAATCTCAGATGCAAACCAATACAGAATTGAGGTCCTTTAATGCCACCTTAACATGCTGACACATTCCTTTACTGGAATTGAAAAGCTAAAAAAAATACACCAAAACAAACAATAAATAGCAATAAAAAACCCCACAAGAGTCCCAACCATCACAAAGAACTGCATATAGGATGAGCTTCTTAACTGAGGGCACTGTGGTGCTTAGAAGTCTACAGTGACAATGATGAGGCTCAGTTCATATTAACAAAAACTCTATCCTAGATGTCTACAAAATTCATGTCAGGGCCAAGGTTAACACACCCATCTTACACCTCAGCAACCGAATCGACAATTGACAACAGAAAAAAAGACCAGATGAAGTTTTTAAAAAACCCAGAGCCTACAACTGAGACCAATGATTCTGCACATTGTCCATAATGAGTATTTTTTCACTGATTTCTGCCATTAAAAATAGAAGCCATATAAGCATAGAATGGCCTTTTTTTTTTTTCATATCTCTTTCAAACATTTTATCACTCACACTGAATCTTTATAATCAAGATATCAAAAGGCTTAAAGCACTATGAGAGATACACTAGTGTGCAAATTAAGTATTTTATAATATAGAAATGTACTGCTAATGGTTATTGAAAAAATTTAACATAATACTACTAAAATTCTGAAGTCATAAGATAGTTTAAAAACAGATAGAATAAACTTTTAAGAGTTAGTATATGCATCCTGGCACAGGACATACATAAATAATAGAAAAGACATCCTATGAGGCAAGTAGTTTCTTTAGCACAGATGGGAACTAAGAATGATAAATGGGGGGAGGAGGGGAAATCCCTACACTTCAGCTATATGAACAGACAGCACCTTTGGTTAACCTGTGTCAACTACATTTTAAAAAGGTCCATTAAAGAGAGATCCCACAAAACAATTACAGGGCACTTTCACTCTACCTGCCATTTTCTTCCATTTGCATTTATCCTGTTGGTAGAGTTGTGCTTTTCTCCATAAATACCTCTGAATCACTGCCTACATTTTTCAAATTTTCCAGCTTAATTTCCCCTTCTGTTCTCAGTTCAGTTCTTCCACCCTGGTGCATCATTAACTACTTACTGGTGTGCCAGGGTGACCTGACTGCAAGAAGCATTGGAAAGAATTAAGTCTGGAGTAAGCAATGCATAAATAGCTTGTGTTTCACTTGTATGTCATGTCCCATCTACTTTTCATGCCATTCCATCAGGAGTTCTCCCTTGCTTGCACCTCAGAAAATGTGTACTAAAGCACAGCATGAAGCTGGTCAGAATTCTCCAAGACAACCAGTAGTTAGCTCAGATACACAGGGCAAGCCTTTCTTTATTCTCAGCACTGCTTTGGTCAGGTTGAACATGTGTAATTAGAGGTGCATTCCTGTCATACAAATAGCAATAGCTCCACCACACCACTCCTCTGACCCAGTCTGAGACATCTATGTTTCAAGGCTTACCCGTCATTTGAAGAAAAACAGACTAAAACCTTGATGCAACTAACTATGTAACACTTCCTCCTCCTGTTAACAGTAGGTCTAACACTGCTGCAAAGAAGCCGATTGCCACAGGTTACCCCATTAGTCAATTAAACTTTGTGACTGTGAAGTTACTGAACTAACACAGACATTAGTGGTTTACATCTGGTATTTGTGGGCAACATAATATTTTATGTTTCCTTTATAAAGTTTGGCAGCTGATTATAGGCTTACTAGTGGGTTTCAACTACAAAAAGCTAAATCTTTACATCTTGGTTAGCTTTCAAACACATCAGCTTTCACAAGAGCTGCTGGAAGGAAACAGCTTTGAAAAGGAGTCGTCTGGGTCAAATATGAGAAAAATTATACAGTAAAGGACAATTTAGTTTATATTTAACTTCAACAATTACCTCTGAGCAGCTACATTCATTCTAGATGAAATTCTTTTTGTGCAGAATTCCTGCATTTTGCACAGAATGTGGGACCAGGTAGGTATTAGATCAGCACACCTATCCCAGTTACTACTGTTGGTCAGTTCACAATCAGATAAAATTTTTACATCATCTATGAACATCCAAGAAAACTCCATTAAGAAGTATAGGTGTCTATTGTGTCAGAAGCAAAGGGAAAGTCACTTAAATGGAAACTGAAACTCTCACTGATAACAGCTCTAGCAGATCTTTTGGTAGTATGTGTCTCAAATAAATATATTTTTCTTTTTAGGATAAAACATGTTATGGACAATGCTGATGCAGTGGCAGCTTTAAGAAAACAGACAGAATTATTTCAGTGGAAACAAACATGAATTGGGCTAGAACTGCACAAGACATCAGATGAACTGTCAAACATGTCCTACTATGTTCTAATAACAATTTAATTCAATACATGTTTTAGTAGATGTGGCACACTAAGTCACACAATGTACACACTACTGCAAACAGGGATGTTTAAAGGAACTGCAGCAAAACCTTCTTCACAGCACAAACTCCTCCTAATTGCTTCATCTTTCATTCCTCTCTAAAGAGAATTTATGAACTTGAGACAAACTTAAATATGTTTTTTTCA